GGCTACAAATGGAGAGGTCCCAACCTGCCCCGTGTTGTTATAAAGTGTCTGTTTGGATGTCGGGTAGGCTTGGGACAGACGGAAATAGCCGGGGACAGGAACCCCGCCGCTAGTAGTAGTGTCACTATTGGAGCACGATTCTGATGTTAGCCTTGGGAACGTGGAAAGATCTGTTGCTGCTGAGCTTTTAGGGCATTTCTCTGAATCATACAAACAATATGCATTCTCCTCTTTGATATTCTGGGGGAAGGAACATGCTGCCACTTGCTGGGTTGCAGGTTGCTCCATGCGACAGGACCTTGGGGGCTCTGACCAGACCTCCATCCCGCTCATGTAAGGATGAGAAGTCAGGACCATACTCTGAGAGTTGTTCTCGCTGCGTTTGCTGAGGGATGGGAAAAGTCCACAGTTCTGCGTGCCGTAAGAGAGCTCAGAGGCAGGCGGCAGGTATACACTGCTGTTGGGGTAATATGCTCCTTCCCCGCCACGGCCCACGCTGATCAGAGAATCTACTAAAAAGGAGTTTGCAGACGGACTGTCTGAGCATGACATTGTTGTGGGGTAATTTGGCGAAAGCAGAAGCTATCCAGTTCAGGCTGACATTTCTTGTGCAAACACGCTGAATATGATTAGAGATACCTCCGCAGCACGACAGGCGGGATGGGCCAATCGCCTGGCAGAGTTGGACAGAAGCCCCGCCTCCACGGAAGGCTGCGTCACTGGAACTGCAATAAGGTCACCATATGTAATCGGTAAACTGCAAAAGCGTCTAAATGCATCTTTATTTACTCGGTTCTACTTTATTAGAAACACGTCCTTCGAATAAAATAGGAAAAAAAAGGGGAGCTCTAACATGTCACACAATATCAACGCAAGTTTCAGCAAATCCATAAAGCGGCCTTACCGAAACATAGCAGCAATCAGTTTCATATATTAAATTACTTACGTATGAAGTTGACAGAAATGAAACTTTTAACTATACTATTATGCACTTTTCATCGCGAGCTAAGATTGCTTGGCATTTACAGGCGAGAAACCAGTAGTAATCTTGACTTTCACGGTCTGCCTGTGATTAGCTATAATGGTTGCTGCTCCATTTTCACAGTAAGCACTATCATGCGGATCAATATTGGAGCTTTATTTAATTTTTAAGTTTCAGGGCAATTCTTTCACGCGTCTGTTTCAGAATCACATCTAGACAGAAAACCCTTAAGATTGCATTTCTGGTTTGCTGTTTGCAGTCTAAAGTTTAACAGCTTAATGCAATGCGCTGCAGCTCTGTGGTTTAAGTGTAGAAGGTCAGTGACAACAAACTAATAAAGCAACATAACCTATTCCTTTTCGCTCCTCGTCTATTTCACCAGCGTGGCATCTCGAGCATTGACCACTTCTGATATTTCATACTTACCATTTCAAGAAATCGAAAACATTTCTTTCGCAATGCTTTAAGCATTGCGGTCTTCGACTGCCCGAGCTACAGAGGAGAGCATTTACCACATCTATAAAATCGATCCCATCATTTCGTCTTAAAAAGAGAAAACAAGACTGTTAAACAGAACTTTACAAGGCCCTTAACTACAAACCGGTCAAGTTTAAAACAAGGCACGGAAACAAAACCTTCGTCCACAGTTTCTCTCTCCACCCCATCAAAGGTAACTATTGGAACTGAAGTGAACAGCAACAACAACAACAAAACTGCAACTGCACTGTGCCCTTTGCAGAAAGGGAGCCGGAGCTTCGGGTTTTGAACTTTTCTTTCCAAGTGAGATGGCGTTCAAGGACAAATATAGACAAAGTGGCGCTACAAGTCTTAATATCGGTGCCGGTAGAAGTTAAGTGAGATAAAAATTAAGAACTGTTCCCTCTCCACCAACCAACCCCCACACCCCGCCAAAGATTATCACGGCCAAAAGAAACGTACGTGTTTATTAGAATGTGCGCTCCATTTCTCTCCGAATTGGTGATTTTGTGGAATATCTGTACAATGTGACATATATCAACGCGACTCCGAAAAGGAGACGTTATTTGTGTTTTGTTCGGCCACCTCTGCAATCAAGTGCAGCCAACAATGACGCTCGCAAATGTAGTCTTTAGGTTGGTACCGGGAGTAAACAGTGTGATTTCACAGTGACAAAGGACTTAATCTTCAGTCTCTGGCATTGCTGCTTTTTACTACGAGTCAATTTGAAACCGTCCTCGAATTCTGGCCTCACCACGAGCAAAACCCACTTCGGCACCATTATTTCCACTGTTGTTACTTTAACTCTGGCGCTGGATTAAAGTGCAAACAAAAAATGCTGTTAATCTAAAGCAGGTTATTCAAAATATCGTTTGTGGTAAAGTCAGCGGGATATGAAGGCCGGCTTTACACGCACCGTGTTTGCTAAGGGGCCGTCTCAGAGGATTCCTTAGTCTTGCTTGTTTTTTTTTAGCACAAACAACTGCTTAGAATTATCACGGTCGTCCAGAAGACCTATAAAAACTTAAATGTGCTGTATCAAAAAAATGAAAATATTCCATTTTGCAGTCCCACTGTGCCTATGACACGTATGATCATGGGAGCATACAAAGATTTAATGGGAGGGAAATAACAATTGTCATCTATACCAGTCTCATATATAAAGACTCAAGCTACTGTACACCAGTGCTAACTAGCAGCACTGTTATATATTGAAGTCAGAATATTTATCTGGTTCTTGTGGTAAATATATCATTGCTTAATATATTGATTCCATATTTGGATAATTTTATTGGTGTACTTTTGGATCGGCAATGGGCTTGAAGGTTTATAACCCAGTTTCCCAGTAAAACTGTAATGTGGATAGTAGATTGGTCGCTGCAATTTCTAGGGGCACTGCAGTCCTTTCTGAAGTTTATTGGTAGGAATGGGGTGAGGACCGTGTGACTGCTGTATGCATTAAAAACACACGCACTGGGAAGTAATTGAAGCAGCGAGGATTTGCAGGGAAAAGTTCCTTTCTCAGTTTCTAAGATGTCGTAACTACACACTGCGATATTGTTAACAGTCAAGAAATATGATTAACTCTGCCGAGAAGGAGACAGGCAAGATGAAATGACTTGATCGTAACATGACAAGAAAAAGATGTAAGAAATAGCTGTAGAAAACGTCTAAATCCGTATGTTGTGCAATATTTCTGCGGCGTGTAACACGTTCCCCTTGACATAAGAAAGAATAACGAAGACCATTTTCTTTTCGTCAAGCTGTATTGATACTGATTATTACAAGAGTTCTCCATTTCTCCTCCAACAAGCCAGCAATAAACAAACGTCTCGAAACCCTGCATCAAATGAGGTAAACGATACGTTCTCCAGCTACTGGCCAAAGAGCGAGCGTGGAAGGCGATAGAGCGAGTGGTCATTCTGTAGCAAAAAAAAGTGATTTCAAAGCCTGGACAGATCAGGATGACCGCACTCGGAGCTCGGTCTCGTTCTTAGCCTAGATCGTGAACTTAAGACTGAAAGCCAGACAGAATAAGACTTTCACTTTGTTTTGCTAAATAAAGATTCGAGAAGTCTCGTACACTCACGCATGAGATTACTTCCAATTACTTATATCTAATTTCATTAACAAAAAGCTATGTAACACTTTGTGAAGTTTTAAGCGTAAAAAGAGCCTCACCCTTCAAGTGTACTGTAATTCGTCATTGTATGCGTGCGCTGTAAATTCCTTTCAGTCTACCAACTAGAACAAGGAGCTGCCATCTACAGACTCTCTTTCAACGCGTATCCTCTTGATTACAAAAAAACAAATCCAGTTCTCTAAGATGGTTTTACGCTGCTGGAAGGTCGAAGAGAGATGATTCTCCCATGTTTTGAAACTAAGTCCAGAAACAATGGCGCCCTTTAACTTGCTCTGCATTAATCGGTTTTACAGTTAGGCATCTGAGACCTCTGTACATTTTGTCCCACAGAATGTTTTTGCAAATAGATTTTTCAAAGTGTACTTTATGAACATGTGCAAGCTAAGTAGATGAGTAAACGCTGAAGACTGAAAAGCCTACGGTATTTGTGTTTCCGTTCTTTACATACAATGTTAACAACATGAAATGAATTAAAACAAAACGCTACACTTTTTCAAAGTTAACTAAGAGAATTATATCCAGATTTTACTCATGAAACACAAATTAATGAATACAGGCGGCAGTCATGACCGTTAAAAGAAAAAAAAGGAAGAACTTGTTGTTGTATTCACTTACCTCACTAAATCTGCAATTCTAATTATTTTTGTAAATTACTACCAAAGCGTTCTAATGCAGAAAACTGCTAACTGTCGCTAACCGCTAACTTACCACTCGGTGAAAAAAAAGAATGGCTTTAAGGCAGGGAGAAGCAAATAACGTCGTTTAAATAATCTTTTTACGTGTGCATTCCAATATAAAGCTAACAGAACAGAATCAGTAAACCCTAAAACCTGCTATGATAGACAGGAAGTCTGAATAAAATATACGGCAACAACAAAAATGAGTACAAAACTGCTTAACGCGTAGGTATGGCAAAAATATTCATCCAGAATTTAACAAAACATAATTGCTTCGATAAATTAATGAAGGTGCGTTAAGAAAAATCTAAATATATTTTATTTGTTTTATTCTAATATGTGTCAGTTCAGTTATTTTACTTCCCTCACAATTATTTGTGAGAAAACCCTTTAAGAAATAAAGAAAAACAAAGAAATAGGGATGGAACTAAATGAATTGAAATGAATAAACTGCGTTTAAAAATGAACAGTAGATAACATTTCGCAAGGTAAACTTCCTAAATGTGAAGTTAAATACCTATGGTCATAATGAAAATTATAGTCGTTTATACATCATTTTATACTCCACCAACACTTTCTGGCGATCAAGGTTGTTCAATTAAAGACTCTTCTAACAATTCAAAGAAAACGTTGTGATGGAAATAGGGTGGAGGAACCTTGTTGTCAGGGTTTAAAATCTATTACCCAAACTGAATAGCGTGAATTGTTTCCTGTGCAATATTCTGAATGGCATGTTGTTACCGGTTCCTTTAAAAAAAACGAGAAGTCTTGGAATAATTCAGATCTGGATTCCCCTTCAAGATTACAGGTGAAACTGCTCAGATTGCAGAAACTATGCATAGCTAACAGGAGCAGAAACATAGATATACGCTCAGATATACTCTTGCTTGTCGCTTTATAATAAAAGAGCTTTTGACTGAATTTTGTTGAAACACGCAGACAGCTTTCACTTATTTGAAAACATAAGCTTATGTTAATTTGTATAATTTACAATTAGAGCCTGAAATTCTGATTTTGCTTGATATATTTTGATGTAATTGAGTGCACAGATTTTTCTCCCCGCTGACGGAATTGCTCACTGGCTTTCTTTCCCTCTCTAAAGCCTCAGCCTCCCATCCAACCACACCGACACCACCCGCCACCACCTCCCCCCCGCCCCTCCCCAAAAAAGCGGCACAATTCAGTCGTTTAGGCCACGGTGAAGGTGACACAGCGGGGGTCAGGTCACAAGCCAAAAGAATGCTCATGTTGTGTATCACGTCGAAAATAAAGTCTCGGTGTAAAATATACAATTACAACAAATTTCTCACATTAGTCTCCTGTGTGGAACTGCACTGATTGGAACGCTGTCATTCAATTGTTTGATATCCCCCAACAAAGAAGTACTTGTGGTTTTGATACTCAATTTAAAGTCGTTCAAAACCATAATGGAACCACAAGACTTTTAGGGGAAAATGCAGGATGACTCCAACAAATATGAACTGCGCACATGATAGTTCTGTTTAATGTATAGCTTCAATGGTCCAGAATTAAGTAAACGTTAACTTCCATTAACATCTTCGATTACATCTCTCTCTTTCAAACAAAGAATGTACTGTAACCAGTGCTCCCAAATGTTTCAGTTTATTGCCGTGGAAACAAAGCTATCCTTTACCGAAATGTTTTTAAGGTACATTATTGTCTTGCTTGCGTAATCCAAATTAAGTAGTTACATAGAGGAATTCTGTATGGAAAGAACTGCTTGTGGTAGCTAATAACAAAATGCCTTCGAATCTGAATGGTACTAAAACTTAGTAGCTCCACAGATGAACAACTGTGACAATGAGCTTTCACTGAAATAGCAAAAGAAGGAATTAACTAGCCTTTAAAAATTGACGAAAGTGCAATTAAACTTAGGGGTGTCTAGACAGTTCTATTTTCCGAAGAGTTAAATGAAAGTTCACAGCGGCAGGTCGGGGTTAATGTTTGTTCTATAGTTCCTCTTACGGTTTTTATTCATTCTTCACCGTTGCAAAATACTGCCGGTCTCACTTGCAAAATCTTTATTTTTTCTATGGCTTATTAGGAGAATCATTTAGTCATATATTAGTGAGACCCTAAACTACATAACGAAGGTTTATTCCTTGTGTATGACTAAAATTGTTATTTCAGCAACTGAAAAAGATGCAACTCTTTTTAGAATATTTTCCTAACAAACCTAAGGAGGAGTTGCTGAAAATGTCTTTTTTCAAAAAAAAAGGCCTTTTAATAACTAGGTTACCACTGACATTGAATGTCTATTGTAGGCAAAACATTGCCTTTAGCAATCGAGTCTTATTGTATGTTGTCTTGATTAACTTTTGATCTAAAAAACCATTTGCTCTGAAATACAAACGTGTACATTTTTAAAGAGCGGAAATCCAGAATCACTGTTGTGATGTGCAAGTGTTGATTCTAGACCCAGAGGGCGCTGTAACTTAAAGTGGGCTCAGCTTCCAACCCGCATACAGAAAATATTGAGGCTCTACAGTTTCTTGGTGGGAATCTACTTCATGCCATGTATCAAACGCCAGATAGCATTCTAATAAAATAATTAACA